GGAAAAAATATATATAAATTTTTAAAGTTTTATATTTTATCTTAGAAAAATATAAGAAAAATAAGTTTTTAATTATAATAAACATTTTAAAATATATATAAAAAAATTGTTTGTTGAGATTATTTTTTAATTTAAAATTTATTTTAATGAACTTATAAGTAGAAATTTTTAATTTGAAATTTTATAAAAGCTTATTTGTTTGCTGAATAATTCAAAAGTAAACTTTTCTTTAGTTAAAATAATAATTTTTTATATTAAAAAATACTGAAAATATACAGAAAGGTGAGAATTTATGTTTAAGTGAAGGCTTTCAGGACTGCAGAGAATGAAAATTTTATAGGGTTGTAAGAAATGAAAGTTTTAAAATATTGAAAGTATTACAGAATTTTAAAGGTTTTCATGAATTGAAGAATTACTATGAGTTTGAAGAGTTGGAGATTTAAAGATCTGCAAGAAATCTAAAAGATTTTAAGAGATTGCAACTGCAAAAACTAAAAAAAACAAAAATTATAGTACTTTTGTAAAAACAACTGCAAAATTTTACAGATTTGCAAAACTGAAAGATTATCAAAGGGAAAAAAATGAAGAATTTTCAAGAACTAAACTTATAATTTTAAACAACATCAAAATATCTCAGTTTCTAAGTACATTACAGAGTAGAAAACAAAGTTTTTGAAGTAAGTCTAAAAATCTACAGAGATAAAGAAAATTTTAATGTTGTAAATAATATATATTGCAGGCCATTATAAAATTTATAATTTATCCAAAAATATAAAAATTGAAATTAAAAAGACACACACAAAACACAGACTTTAAAAGGATTTAATCAGAAAAATTGATGGAATTTGGATTTATAATACTTAAAAAGTATTAAAAGATGTAATTCAAAAATATAAAAAGATTTTAAAGATTTTAAGTTTTTTTTAATAAAATAATAAAAAAAATTTAAATATGATAAAATTACAGAATAATAATTTTAAATAAATGATGTTAAAGGTGAAAATAAGTAAATCAATGTCAATCTCTATTGTCAAAAGCATATAAGTTAACATTATGAATAATATTTAAAAAAATAAAATATTCTTTAGAATATTTACGAAGATATTCTCCAGAAGTACGTAGAAAGGNTAGGGATGAAAGAAATGCAGGAGTTTCTTATCTTTCGCCATATTGAATGACCACCATCTAGTATCACAGGATTACAATACCGTTCCTTTCACTCAGATTAATAGAGGTGGAAACGAAATTCTTAATGGATATGTGCTTCTACTAAAGAAGAATAACATCAAACTTTCTAAGAACAATATACTATACAACGGCTTATATATTTGTTATATTTTAATTTCCATTTTTCAATATATTTCTTTTACTTTTTATACGATACTTAGTGAAACCTGAGCCGAAGAAAGTTCCGATTCGACATCATTTTTATATCTTAAATGATAGCTAATATTGTATAAAATTCATATTTTTGTATTAAAGTTGACATTATGAATAATATTTAAATAAAATAAAATATTCTTTAGAATATTTACGAAGATATTCTCCAGAAGTACGTAGAAAGGTAGACAATGAAAACATGAATGGGAAAGAGAAAAATGGAGAAGATAAAATAAATGGTTTGCTCACAATGCTTCCTTATCGAGACATATGATTATTGGCAGATGGAAAATGGTATAATGGAAAGAGTAATGTGGAATTGAAAGAAGAAACTGCATTACAAATACATAAGATGAAATTACACTTCTTTTTCTTTCCTCTTTATTTACTTTGTTAATTGTTGACATTCAAGTAAAAGACTAAAAATAATAAATAAAGTTGATACAAATAAACAATATTCAATAAAT